TCGAGGAAGGGACATTTATCGATACCAATCTTTGCCACTGATACAGCACCTTATCATATCATCCAGACGTCTCAAAGCGCTTCACAGGATATACGCTACAAAGTAGTGCGCCTGTATTTTGTGCCCGAACACTGCAGCCATTACACACAGCAAAATCCCACAAGTCGCGGTGGAGTTCGTGACCGATTGTATTTGGGGGAATTGTCGGCCAGGACACAGAGAAAGAGAGAGAGAGAGAGAGAGAGAGAGAGAGACAGACGGGACCTCGGATTAAATGTCTCACCAGAAGGAGAAAAGGGTTAAACCAATTTTTCGACCTTGCCTGCGGTCACCTCACCCTTTACCCAACACTCTCTATTGCTCAGTCCCACTCCATCATTGCACAGGGCTCCGAGACTCTCTCCTAAGTGAAGAGGGCTGTGTGACTAAAAATGGCCCCATGCAAAGTGGAGTCCCATAGGTCAGTGGTTAGGGCACTCGCCTCGCAAGCGAGAGGACCCGGGTACGATTCCTGGGAAGGGTAAAACGTTGGGCAAATTTCCCTTACTCCACACACACACAGGCTTCTGTGCAGTAAGTAGGAAACCGGCTGTTAATCGATTGGTGGATCACTTTAAATAATCCCTTCCAAAAAAACATTGATCACTCAATCCATGACTGTTTGTGGGGACGCTGCTGTGCGCAATTGGCTGCCGCGTTTCGCCCACAAAATACACAATCAACTTACTTTCCAATATATTCTGTGAAGCGCTTTGAGACTTGATAAGGCATTATATCAAACGCAAGGATTTTTTTTATTATGAATTCTGCTCAGTGTGGTATCATTCGAGCTGTTTATTAGCAGTTAACAAGAGAGCGATGATGGAAAACGGCAGCAACTTGCACTTATATACAGCGGAGGGCAGGGGGGGTGAGAGGAAGGAGGGTGGCCCAAGGTACGGTCGAAGAGCAGGGTTTTGAGATGGGTCTTGAAGGAGGCGAGGGAGGGGGCGAGGCGGAGGGACTGCAGGATGGAGTTCCAGAGGGTGGGGGCAGAGTCACTGAAGACCAGCCTGCCAATGATGGGGCGGGTGAGGGATGTGAAGCAGGCTGGAGCCCGCTGAACGGAGGGAGCGGTAGGGGAGGTTGGTAGGGGGCTAGCAGAGGTACGGAGGAGCACGGCCGTGGAGGGCTTTGAAGATGAGGACTAGGATCGTGAACCATCTCCTCTGTGTGACGGGAAGCCAATGGGGTTGGGCGAGGAAATGGGCGATGGAGTCACGGGAGAGGACACGGACTGCAGAGCTCTGGATGATCTGCGGCCTATGGAGGGAGGAGTTGGGGAGGCTGACAAGCAGGGCGTTGGCATAGTCGAGCCTGGATGTTATGAATGCGTGTATGGGGGTTTCAGCGTCCTGCGGTGTGAGACAGTGAGGGAGCCGGGCGATGTTGCGGGGGTGGGGGAAGGCAGATCAGGTCATGGTACGGATGTGGAGGGGAGAGGACAGTTGAGGGCCAAACAAGACGCTCAGCTTCCGGACTGGCTCAGTGAGGTGGAGTGAGGAACCATCGATGGTGATGTTGTCAGCGCCTGAGGTGAGGAGGCGCTGACAGAAGCCAATCGGGAGAGCCTCGGTCTGGCTGACGTTCAACTGCAGAAAGTTAGCGCTCATCCAGGACTTGATGTCTGACAAACATTCTGTCAGAACCGCAGGGTGGAGGCAGAGAGGGAGAGTTGCGCAAATGTCATCTGCATACATTGCGTGTGCGCGCGCGCGTGTGTGTGTGGTGTGTCTGTGTGCGCGCGTGTGTCTGTATCTATGCCTGTGCATGTGTGTGTCTGCCCATCCACCAGTGTGTGTGTGTGTGTTTGTATCTATGTGTGGTGTATCTGTGCGTGTGTGATATGTCTTAGTGTGTGTGTGTGTGTGTGTGTGTGTATCTATGCGTGGCTTGTCTGTGTCTGTGTCTGTGGTGTGTCTGTGTCTGTGGTGTGTCTCTGTGTGTGGTGTGTATATATCTATGTGTGGCATGACCGTGTGTGTGTGTGTATGTGAGATGTGTATCTGTGTGTGGTGTGTCTAAGTATGTGCGTCTATGCCTGCTCATGTGTGCGTCTGTCTGTCCTTAGCGTGTGCGCGTGTGTGTATGTGTGGGAGGAGAGCTCGCTCTCCCTCAGGAGGTGTTGGTAAGTAAACTCTCACAGATTACACATCTGATCTGATTTACAATCCCAGATCAGCCACTAATTAGCAAAGTCCAGGGTCTGAGCCAAATCCCTCACGGCAAACCCTGGACAGTCAGGGCAACGGTGCCCCCAGTGCGGACACCCACCTCCTCACTGTCACCCCATCATTTTCTTTCCTCCATTCCCCCCTCCACCACACTTCTCTCTCTCTTTCTCTCTCTCTCGCCTCCATTCCTCTCTTTCTCTCTTTCTCCCATCCCTCTCTTTCCTCCACCCCCCCCCCTCTCTCTCTCTCCTCTCTCTTTCTTCCATCCCTCTCTTTCCCTCTCTCTCCTCTCCCTCTCTCTTTCTTCCATCCCTCTCCCTTTTCCTCTCGCCTCCATCCCTCTCTTTCTCTCTCTCTCTCTCTCTCTCTTCCATCCCCCCCCTCTCTCCACCATCCCTTTCTCTTTCTCTCTCTCTCCTCCACCCCGCTCTCTTTCTCTCTCTCCACCTCTCCATTTCCTCCATTCCCCCCCTCTCTCCTCCAACCCTCCCCCTTTCTTCCATCCCTCTCACTTTCTCTCTATCCACCATCCCTCGCCCTTTCTCCCTTTCCGCCATCCCTCTCTGTTTAAGGGTCAATCCACTTTACGGTATGGTCTGTGAGGCGCTTTGAGACGTCTCAACGACGCGATCAGGCGCTGAATCAAACGCGCGGATTATTATTATTAGTAGTATTAAGACGGGAGGGTGTGGATTGTGGAGTAGATCAAATGGGTCGAGGGGGGAAATCCTTTACGCCAACCTCCCTGGTCTTCTTCTGAACGACAGCAACAACTTGCACGAATATAGCGGCCCTCACGCAGCATAGCGTCCCAGAGCGCACGAACACCAGTAACACCCTACCCGCTCCTCCCCCTGACTGGCTGTGTCCAAATCCCTGACTGGCCAGCGCTTTGGGACGTCCTCCCGGCGCGAAAGGCGGTGAGTACATGTCATTTTGTATTGTGTTGTGTGTCGACGTCCCTCGCACGGCGCTAACCGTACCTGGATTCGATACGGCGCCTTATCACGTCTTCGAGACGTCTCAAAGCGCTTCACGGGATACGCTGTAAAGTGTACTGACCGCGTGCTTTGCCGGGTGAAACGGGGTAGGCCGCTGCACGCGGCAGCGTTCCACACACACTGCCGTGGATTGAAGTGACCGATTTATTATTATTTCTTATTCATTTTGTAAAATTAATCTATTTATTTGTCCATGCGGTGCTGGCGTGTGTGTGCGCGTGTGTGTGTGTGCATGCGCGTGCGCGCGTGTGTGTGTGTGCACGCGTGTGTGTGTGTGTGCACGCGTGTGTGTGTGTGAGCACGCGTGTGTGTGTGTGGGTGTGCATGCAAGAGCTGCTGCATTATTAGCGCCATTTCGGGGTAATAATAATAATAATAACAATCCTTGCATTTGATACGGTGCCTTATCGCGTCTTCGAGACGTCTCAAAGCGCTTCACAGGATACACTGTAAAGTGTAGTAACTGTGTGCTTTGCAATAATAATTGTTAAACCCGTGAGACATTAAACCCGGTGACTGTGTCCCGGTAGACTCTACAGATCCCGTGGCAAGTTCGGAAAAAGATTAGGGCAGTTTCTCCCGGGTCTCCTGACTGGCAGATTGACAATTTCACCCCCCCCCCCCAACCCCCTCCCCCCACCTACCCACCACCACTATTGATGAATGAGCTTTGACCCAGGCAAAGAGAGGCTGGCGGGTTGGTCTGCTGAGCTCTCTTTCAGCCCAACAACAACAACAAGAACAACTTGCATTTACACAGCGCCCCCTCGCTCACGCAGGCCAGCGTCCCAGGGCGCTGGACAGTGGCGGAGCCTGACTCCGAGCCGGGGAGGGAGGAGATGACCGTAGGCACGGTCGAACAGGAAGGTCTTCAGGCCCGACCCGAAGAGGGGCAAGGGAGGGAGCGAGGCGGAGGAGAGTGTTCCAGAGTTTCGGGGCGCGGCGGCTGAAAGCGCGGCCGCCGGCGGTGGAACAGAGGGCGCGAGGGACAAAGCAGGAGGCCGGAGCCGGTCGGGAGGAGGCAGCGGGTTGTGGGTTTGGGTGGGTGAGCGTAGGGAGGTGCCGGGGCACAGAGCGATTTCAGGGCAAGCGTGAGCACAGTTCACGTTACGGAGTGGTCAGATGGTGAGACCTTTCAGCCTGTTTTTTCCTGCGGTCTGCGCCCGCCCGCCAGCCGGCCAGCCGGCCAGCCAGTTTAAAATGATCGTTCAATAACACGGAGTAGACTGTAATCTGATACCACCAGCGAGCTCGTTTTCCTGGTCGGACCTGTGAGTGTGCGACTGGGACTAGTGATTTACTCAGGTGCTGAACTGACTGAAGGCATCCGCAGTTATTCAGCCCACACCTTTCCTTATTATCGGCATCGTCGCCGTCATGATAATAATGATAATCCTTGCATTTGAGGCAGCGCCTTATCACGTCGTCGAGACGTCTCAAAGCGTCTCACGGGATATACCGTAAAAGTGAAGTGACTGGGTTATTCTGTGGGCAGTTTTCAACGCACAGCAACGCGCCACAAACAGCCACGGAGTGAGGGACCAATTTTATTTGGGTGTATCGTTGGCCAGGACACTGGCAGAGAGAGAGAGAGAGAAACTTATTATTATTATTATCGAATCTGTTTCCACCACCATTTCAGGCCGTGTGTTCCAGATCATAACAACTCTCTGCCTAAAAACATTTCTCCTCGTCTCATCTCCCCTCTGGTTCTTTGGCCAATTATCTTAAATCTACGTCCCCCTGGTTACCGACCTGCCCGCCAGTGGGAACAGTTTCTCCTGTCTACTCTTATCAAAACCCCTCATCATTTCGAACACCTCTATTAAATCTCCCCGTAACGTTCTCTGCTCTGAGGAGAACAATCGCAGCCTCTCTCGTCTCTCCGCACAATTGCGGATCCCCTCGTTCCTGGTGTCATTCTTATTTCTTTTCAGGAAATGTGACAAACTGGCTCCCAATTAAGACCTAATTGAAGGGTTTCTCCAGCATTTCGCAGACCTGGCGATGATACAAACACACAAAATAAATACACAGTCACTACACTTGACGGAGAACTGCGGGAGAGGCTTTGAGATATTTTTGACGTGCGGAAGGCGCTGTAAGGAATGCCCTGATCATCATCATCATTATAATTATTATTATTATTAACGGCGACCGAAATCTCAACCAGTTAAACAGCTTCAGAGGTGAAGGCACTTACTTTCTCCTCATTCAGTGTCTTTGTCCCACTCCACTCGCGACGTGTTGTCCTGCAACAGAAAATGTGCAAAGTAATTCTCAGACCATCTCCATGTTGATTCCCTGTCTCACAGCGGTCGCCTTCACGAGATGTTTTGATGTTATCGGTGCTGTACCAGATGCAATGAGTATTATTATTATTATTGTTCTACCGTGGAGTTGTTGTTGCTGTTAACCCCGCAAGCCAAGGCACTCACGGGGAGGGTGGTCCTCGCTGGACAAGCAGCGGGAAAGCTTGGCCAGACAGCGACATCAATGGCAAGCCGTGTGGTTTTAGATGGTCAGACTCCAGCAGTTACCCCCAACGCACACTCTGGGATCCTCCCCCCACCCCAAGCCTTGGCTCTTGCCAACCTGCGCCTAATACTTTCCGGAATTAGGTAAGCGGGACGCATCCCTCCAGGTGGCTTCTCAGACAATACAACGCTTTCCCCAGCACTGCACTGGAGTGTCAATCTGGACGTAACACTGTGGGGAGTTGATGATGTGGGGGGCGGGAGGCGGGGGTCTGCGGGTGGGAGCTATCGTCTGAAGGTGTCGTCCTTCAGAGAAGACGTTAGAGCAAGTTTGAGTAAAAAGAGAGGGGGATGGAGGAAAAAGAGGGATGGAGTAAAGAGAGAGAGGGATGGAGGAAAGAGAGAGGGATGGAGGAAAGAGAGAGAGGGATGGAGGAAAGAGAGAGAGAGGGATGGAGGAAAGAGAGAGAGAGAGATGGAGGAAAAAGAGGGATGGAGGAAAGAGAGAGGGATGGAGGAAAGAGAGGGATGGAGGAAGGAGAGAGAGAGATGGAGGTGAGAGAGAGGGATGGAAGAAAGAGAGGGATAGAGTAAAAAGAGAGAGTGATGTAGGAAAAAGGGAGAAGGATGGAGGAAAGAGAGAGGGGGGATGGAGGGGAAAGAGAGAGGGATGGAGCAAAGAGAGAGGGATGGAGGAAAAAGAGAGATGGCTGGAGCAAAGAGAGAAGGATGGAGGAAAAAGAGAGGGATGGAGGAAAGAGAAAGAGATGAAAGAGAGAGGGATGGAGGAAAAAGGGAGATCCCACAGGACAACTGGTAAAAGACCAACAAATCTATCTCTCTTACAAAACACTTTGAGATGCCTTTGAAGTTCCGACCTCAATCCTTCCGGACCACGACACGTGATCCCCTCACCCGCTCCGTACACCCCATCGCGCCGCCTTTTTAAGCGAACGCAAGGTGCCCCGTGAGTCGATGGTAAGTGGGGGGGGGGGGGGGGGGTCGATGCGTTTTCCGTTTCGAACCGTTTGAAGTCCGCGCCGAGTGTGTGGGCGGGAGAGAGGATTGCACTTGCTCGGCCAGGCTATTTCCTCCTTAAGTCAGAAGTATTTCTAATTAAAGCGAAGCAATAAATAATTCAGCCCGTATGGATTCTGTGAGTGCCTTGCAAAGTGCTTAAGGTCTCACTCGGCCTGGCTCAGTCGATAGCACTCTCGCCTCCGAGCTAGGGTTCAAGCCCCACGTCGGGACTTGGAGCTCGCACGATCTGGACTGAGGCTCCAGTGCAGTGCTGGGGGGTGGGTCGGGGGCGTTGGGGTTTAAGGGGAACACTGCATTGTTGTTCGTGTCTCGTCCTCTGGTTTAACACCAGATGCCATGTTAAACTGTGGTCTCGTCTGTGCCTCCACACGGGGATGTCGAAGACCCAATGATAGTAATTCTGTGACCTCCTTAACCCCTGACCAACCTGCCTCCACCCCCCCCCAACCACCCCACCATTGGCGGGTGGGCCTTCAGCCTCTCTACCCCCACCCTTTGGAACTCCATCCCACAGTCCCTCTGCCTCGCCCCGTCCCTTTGCCTCCTTCGAGACCCATCTCAAGACGTTCCTCTTTCACCGCGCCTTCGGTCACCCTCCACCCCTCCTGATCCCAACCACCACCACCCCCATCCCACAGCTCGGATGCGGATCCCTGACTGTCCAGCGCCTTGGGACGTCCTCCTGTCGTGAGAGGCGCTGTGGAAATGCCATTTGTTGTTGTTTTGTTGTTGGAAAAGGGGAGGGGGTTTGTCCCGGTGACTTGGCTGACGCTCCCACAGTTTGATCGGTGATTTGCTTCATGGCTGTTTGTGGGACTGTGAGGCATCCGAAATGGTCGTTGCGATTGCAGACAAAAATACAGCCACTACACCTGACAGCAAAAAATCAATGTGTGTCTATCTGTGGGGCGAGGAGGGGGGGAAGGGTGGGAAGTTAAACATAATAAACCCCATCATCCCAGTACATCGATGATCTCAGGATCTCTCCACCCTTCCCCATCACACCGGTCCTCTCCAAGGCTCCACCGGCTCCCAATCACCGAGCGGATCGACCTCAAGATCCTCTCGCTCGTCTTCAAATCCTTTCACTCCCTCACACCTAACTCCCTATCTGTCCGACCTGCTTCCCCTCACCACCACCCCCCCCAACAACTCCACCACCCGCTGCCTCCACTCGGCTGGCTCGGGCCACCTGTTTGTCCCTCGTCCCCTCCTCCGCTCCTCCATCGGCGGCCGGGCCTTCAACCGCTACATCCAGAAACTCTGGAACTCTCTCCCCCCACCTCCCTCTCACCGCTTCCCCCCTCCCCCCACACCTTCAAATCCCGCCTAAAGACCTTCCCTTTTTGATCGTGCTCCCCCCCCCCCCCTCCACAGCCTCTCGCTCTCGCCTTGGCTCGGTGTCACACTCTCTCAAACGCCGCCCTACGCTACCCGTTAAATTCTACTTCGTTAAAATTGATTAAGAAATCGAATTTTACATGTAAGAAAATGCAATGAAATTTCGATTGCAGGGGGTGAGGACAGCGCAGGCAGTCTACGTCGCTTGGCGGGATTTCCAAGAGAAATGATCGGGAGTGAGATTGCCGAGCGAGAGACAGAAAGGTACATCGCGGACCGAGTGATAGCGATTTATAGAATATTACAGCAGCAGAAGGAGGCCATTCGGCTCGTCGCGCCTGTGCCGGTTGTTCGGAAGAGCTACCCAATCGGTCCCCACTCCCTCTAAACAAACAGACAAGTGCTACATCCCCCCCAAAAAATAACAGTAGTTCGGTCACTCAATCCATGACTGTTTGTGGGACACTGCTGAGCGCAATTGGCTGCCGCGTTCGCCCACAAATATACAGTCAATTCACTTTACAGTGTGTTCTGTGAAGCGCTTTGGGACGTCCTCCCGACGTGAAAAGCGCTATATCAAATGCAAGGATTATTATTATTATTATAACCTTCTCTGCTGTAAGGAGAACAATCCCAGCTTATCTAGTCTCCCCACATAACTAGGGGCTCTCATCCCTGGTACCGTTCTGGTAAATCTCCTCCGCGCCCTCTCCAAGGTCTTGATATCCTACCTAAAGCGTGGGGCGAAATTGCGCACGGCAGCGTCCCACAAGTAGTCGGCGTTTGAGCGACCAAATTATTATTTTGTTTTGAAGGGTTTATTAACCCCCAGAAAAGCGATCCGCCAATCGACTTACAACCGGGTTCCTACTTACTGCTGGGTAAACAGGGGCGCGCGCGCGTGTGTGTGTGTGGGGGTGTGTGTGTGGGTGGGGGTGTGGGGGAGTAAGGAAATTTGCCCAACGTTTCGCCCCCTGCCCGGGAATCGAACAACGGGTCCTCTCGCTTGCGAGGCGAGCGCTCTAACCACTGAGCTACGGTAGTAGTTAATAGTTGGTACCGTGTTATCCTAAAGATAGTGAAACGAGATGCTAAAGCGAGTTCCTGTCTGCCTGTTCGGGGTGGGGGGGGGGGGGGGAGAAAATTCCCTGACATTGTTCGAAAAGAGAAGGGAGTTTCTCTCTCTCTCTCTCTCTCTCTCGGTGTCCTGGCCAACAATCCCTCTCATAAATCTGTCATTCACCTCACGGTGTGTTGGGGGGTGAGGGTGGGGGTAGGTGGGGTGCTGTTGGGGAGCGCGGGGGAGGCTGGTCGGCACGATATGGCTACTGCCTTTTGTGTTCACTCCCCCCACTTGACAATAGTTCCTTGCGAAGCACTTTGAGGCGTTTCCCACTTGATGAGTTTCTGCGCGTTTGCTTCTTTCTCTCTCTTTTTCTCTCTATCTCTTTCTCTCTCTCTTTCTCTTCTCCCCCCCCCCCACCACCGCCTCTCTCTCTCTCTCGCTCTGTCTCTCTTTGAATGTTGCCTGTGTCTGTGTTGAAGTTGAAACTAGACACAACTCCTCCTCTCTCCCTCTCGCCCATTGAACCATCCTGGAGATGGGTCACCAGTTCTCTGTCAAGGGGGTGGAGGGGGGGGGGGGGGTGGGAGGAGGGGGTGGAAAGGGGAAAGGGAAGGTGGTGGGGGTGGGGGAGGCAGGTGGACTGAGGAGATGAGATTCAAGCCAAAGTAGAGATGCATGTGTGCGTGCGTGAGTGTGTGCGTGAGTGAGTGTGCGCGTGTGCGCGTGTGAGTGTGTGTGTTTGCGCGTGTGGGGGGGTGGGGGCAGAGGTCCTGTGTGTGTGTGCGCGCGCGCGCTTGTGTGTGTGTGTGTGTGGAGGGGGAGTGGGGTGGGGGTGGGGAGAGGGGGAGAGGGGAATACACCGAAAATAAGTTAACATATTAAAAAAAACACACCGCTTTAGGAAAGTTTAGGAAAGTTTCTTTGTGTCCGACTAAAAATACATGGAAGTATTTATCGATTCATCTTTCCTACGTGGTCAGTCAGGGGCCAGGTTGGCTTCCTACGTTTGCACCCCCCTCCCCTCCCTCCCCAACCCAAAAGAAAAAATATATATAGAGAGAGAGAGAGAGAGAGCGAGTGTTGAGCTGGGAGTGAGAGAGTTAATTAGCATCAGGGAGCTCAGGCTAGTAGCCGGCCAAGTTTAATCACCGACAATCCTACCCTTGCTGACGCTTAAAGGAACTGAGTGCAAAACACTGTGCAGTCAAAGAGAAATATTTCAACAGTAAGGAGGCTGTCTATCCCTCTAAACTTCCTCCTTACTGCATCACCCCCCCCCTCCACTCCCCAACGCCCCCCCCCACCTCCCCCCCTCAGCCCCGTCGGGCTTGTGGAGACTGTGGGAGGAGGAGGAGGAGGAGGCGGAGGAGGAGGAGAAGAGTGGGGGGTGGGAAGTTGCGACCGAACCGCTTGAGAGAGCTGCTGTGATGGAAGATTTATTAATCCCAGTGCGACTGAGCGTAGGGGAAGGGCGCATAAGGGGCTGCTGTGAGTTTCCAGCGAGCTGGGCAAAGGGAAGGAGACAGAGAGCGAGAGGAGAGAGAGAGAGAGAGAGAGAGAGAGCGCGAGAGAGAGAAGAGAAGAGAGAGAAAAAACACACGACGGCAACACACCAAAAAAAAAAATCAGGAGCAAAAATACCGCAGATGTGCTGGAAATCTGCAACGATCACCGAAGTGGCTGGGAAACACGCAGCAGCAGGTCAGGCAGCATCTATGGAGAGAGGTGGGGGGGAAAAACGAGTGAACGTTTCGGGTCGATGACCTTTCATCGGAACCGGTGTGGGGTTGGGGTGGAGTGGGGGGGGGGGGGGGTCGGGGAACGTGCGTGAGCGAGCGAGCGCGTGCGTGTGTGGGTTTTTTTGGGTTTCCCACCCCCACGCCACCCACTCCGTCGTTTTTTTCCGAGAAAAAATATTTCGCTTTTTTTTGTGGGGTGGGGTGGGGGGTGGGGTGGGGGAGAGGAATGGGGGTGGGGGGGGGGGGGTGTAAGGGAGCGACGCAACTTCATCCCAACCCCTCCTCTCGCTCCCTCCGAGCGCGCGTACACACACACACACACACACTGACTTAACGTGACCTTATGTCACCAGTAATGACTGCAACTTAATTGATTCAGAAAACCTTGTCTGGGTAGGTTTCGGACTGGGCCTCAAGAGTTCAGTCAGTGCATTCCAACTCTCTACGGAGCAGGACGGCAGAGGCAAGGGGGGGGGGCGGGGGGGGGGGGGGGGGGGGGGGTGCGTCAGAGGGGAAGGCAAAGGAAAGGGGGGCCGGCGGGGGGCGCGCGGGCGGTGGGAGTTTGGCGAGTTTTGATTATGCGCAGACTAATAGTTGTCCTACTTCAAGTTCTATTCTCTCTTGCTCTCTCTCTCTCTCTCCCCCCCCACACCCCCCCCCACCCTCTCTCTCTCTCTCTCTCTCTCTCTCTGCCTCGCCCCCCCACCCCCACCGCGCCCCCCTCTCCTCCCCCCTTGCTCGCTCGCTCGCTCGCTCTCCCAACCTCGTACCGAGATTTGGTTAAGCGAAGAGCGAGCTTCTTCAGCAGCCAACTCTATCTCTCTCTCTCTCTCTCTCTCACTCTCTCTCTCCGTCCGTCGCACTTTCTCTCTGCCTCCCTCGCCATTCGTTCTTTTTTTTTTGGGGGGGGGGTGTGGGGTAGGTGGGGTGTGGGTTGGGGTGGGGGTGGTGGGGGGGGTTTGCTTTGAACGTGGGGGGGTGAAACACGGAAAGTAGGTGCTCAGTGAAAACCGATGCCTTTGGTTGGAGACGGACCAAGACGGGGTGGGAAAAAAAGCCGTAGGACGGGAGGCGATGGAGCATCGAGGGAGGTGTGTGTGTGTGTGTGTGTGTGTGTCCGTGTGTGCATCCGTGTGGGCGCGCGCGTGTGCGCGCGTCTGCAAAGAGGAGAGGAGGGCCTCAGCTTAACATTTGTGAGGTCTCGAAGACCTGATAAGGCGCTTTATCAAATGCAGGGATTATTATTGTTGTTATTATTAAGTCACTGATTTTTGCTGCTGTGGGTAACACACACTCCACACGCTCGCTCACACACAGGGACACACACACACACACACACACACACTCGCACGTACCTCACCTCTCTTTCCCCCACCCCACCACCACCCCCCCAAACCCCCCGCGCGCCCCCACACACCCAAAAAGAAAGTTGGAAGCATTTTCCTGGCGTTCTGTGTGCAAGTAAGTAAAACGGGGGAGTGGGGCGGAGTGGGAGTGGGGGGGTGTGGGGGGGGGCCGGGGGGCGGGGGGGAGGGCGGTGGAGTGTGACGGGGAGGGAACGGGGGAAGAGATTTGCTTTGACTGTTTGTGTTTGGATATCGGGGAGCGTTTCAAGGAGCGAAGCGAAGCTGGTTGAGATGTGCTT